GACCCCACTGGTCACAGGACACTATGATGAGTGACTTCCATCAATTACTACCCTCTGGGTCTGACCACGGAGCCAGTTTCCCAGCCAGTGGATCGTGGATTATGAAACTTTTCAAAGCCAAAGATGGCATTTCATTTTAAATCCTGCCCCTCCCCACAATTGTCTTTGAAAATGTGTACATTAAGCTCCCTATGCCTCCATTTATGCCCATTTTACAGATGGGGAAATTCTGTCCGTACCCACAGGACAGGGGTGATGTGAAACTTGTAGGTTATGAAGTACTTTGAAGGTCTGGGGGAATGATGCTCTGAAAGTGCGAAGTGTTCCTTTTTTCCCCCCTTGAATGCTTCATTTTTACGTTACGTTTTTCAGGTGACTGTGGAAGGACCAGTGACTCTGACCTCTTTGCTTCCTTTAATACTGTGCAATACAACTCTGATGCATACTGAAAAGGTCTGTCTGACCCACCATCTGTTGTAGAGAACAGTGTGAAGTAGATGCTAACTCCCATTGGGGTTTAAATACTGAAGAGCTTTTAAAAATTCCTGCTAGATGTGTATATCCCTCTTTTAAGCTCAACATCTGACTCTATAATCCTTCCCTGTCTGTTCAGATAAGGCAGAAGGATCCCAGATCCTTCTCCATCTGAGCTTGTCAACAAATTTAAGTCAAGGAAGTAATTATGGCAAGGTTTAATATACACATTTTCAGGCTCTTTCACTGGTTTTTGTGTAATGGCTTAATGCGTAATATAACAAATGCTGCAGTGCAATTAACATCACTAGATAGGTTTTTTATCCCATGACCACAGAAGAAATTGTAGCAAGGCAGCAAGCAGTTGTTCAATGAGACTGACAATGCATTTTTCTCCTGTTACAAGGTGCTACGGCGGTTTTGTAGTTTCATGCAGCCAAAAAAATGAAGTATCAATGTTGTGCTTGCGTATCGTGTCCTGTTTTGGATCCGTTTCTCTTGTAGAGAGAAACTATTTTTATTTTCTCCCTACCCACAACTTCTACAGCTCACAGATGGTAGCAACTGTTTTGTTTTGGGTGTGCTGCTGGGACTCAGTCATATTAACAGCTTGAGGGGAAAAAAAAATCTATGTGCCTTTGGGAGCTGTCAGGTTTGAAACAACTGGATTTAGTAGCCCCAGGTTTAAAATGCTCCGCCATTTATCTGAAGCAGCGCAGTTCAGTACAAAACAGTTTACTGTGCATGGTGAACTCGGCCAAAACCCAGGAACAGATGTCCTGCCCACTCGGTGTGGACACTAATAGAGATATCAGATTATTTACAGTATATGAGGAATGTACTGTCCTGTTTTCTCACTCAATATTTCTCCTCAAAGCAGCAGTGCCCTCTCCTGGACTCAAGCACGCATCAGTCCCATGGCTTATAAAGTTTTAGTTGCTCAAAGCGCAGAGGCCTGTGCTTCTGGAGGAGAAGGACCTGGCCTTTAATTCCACTTATGGCTGCGAAATCTTAAGGGGTTAGAGAAGTCTGTCTCGTTTACGCAGACCCACGCCTACACTGTTGTGTCTCATCCTGTGTACCAGGTATCAGACCCTGTGGGGTATTTAGGGATGGAAAGTAAAAGCTGCTAATTTTTTTTTTTTCTTTCTCTTTCTCAAGCAATGACCGTGCGCAGTGGAGGGAACGTGTTGGTGCCCTGTTATCCCTCAGGAGTAATATATGACCTGCTGGAGTGCCTGTACCAGTATATCGATTCTGCAGGACTCTCCAATGTCCCCTTTTACTTCATCTCTCCTGTTGCCAACAGCTCCCTGGAGTTCTCCCAGATCTTTGCTGAGTGGTAGGTTTTATTTTACTGTGTAGCCTGGGTTCAACCATAGATTGTAGTAAACATGTACAGAGCAAGTGCTGATCACTGCAATTCCCCCTACTTGAAATGTTCTCCGCCTGCGAGATAAGGAGGTGGGAGCACATCTTGTGAATCATGGGAATACATGCGTCTAGGTCTTCTAGAATTAGAAAGGCATCGTTTCCCTTGTAACGTGTGTCAGATCTGTTTACAAACACAGGTAGATGCGTTCGCCACTCTCTGGCATCAGATTTGGTGAGTAAGTGAAGCACCATGCTGAGAGTGACTTTCAGATGCATCTTCCTTGCCTCTCTGTTAGTCTCAATCAGTGCCTCCAGGAGCAGACAGCAGTCTAACGACGTGAGCAAGCTAGGTTTGTTACTTTTCTAATTCAAGTGAGATATAAAACGAAGGGCCAGGTGTTGCCAGCCTTGGCCATTTTGGCAGGGGCTAAAGTAGACGGCCCAGTCTTGTTCTGGAAGAAACACAACATTAATCTTTGCAGACTTTACAACTCACAGGGTCAGCAAACTGAGGGAAGCAATTAATACATCCAACCAAACCAGCAGAGAGATCAGGTTAAACAGAGCAAAAGGCCTGGCAGGAAATGTCATGTACAAGAAGTTCTTGAGATAAATAACCCAAATGGTGTATATTCTAGTTTTAGCTTGAGCATGTTTGTTAGTAGCAGTGTTTGATGTAACCAAAATGTATCGGGTGCAGCTGTGCTGTAACGGATATTTTTTTTTTAATTAAGTTTCTTAGATAAATTGTAAAAACAAAAGCATCTTTGTCAGGAAATAAAATACAGTCAAGAGAAAACAGGGTGGTGGTTAGTGACATTCCAAACTGGTCAAGGAAAGAGATAAAAACAAAAATCCTCCCTTCCAAAAATTATAACTTCCTACAAGGACATAAATCTCATTGAAGTCTTCCAGGGCCATAGAAAAGTTGGTTCAATCAAGTTTCCAAAGTCTCGGTAAAACAAAGACGATTTAAATAAACTAGTCAAAGTGCGTTAGAGTGAGCCATGCATAAACATGGGTTGGGAACTGGAGGGAAAATCGGAGAACTCAGCCGGTCCAAAAAGACCTGCTTCTGTTCTGTGCACCATCCTCCTCCTGCCCAAGTCTCCCCAGCCAGTATAGGTGAGGATCTGTATTGAATCGTTGGTTGATCTTGGGAACAGCAGTGTATGCTTGCCCTTTAGACTCCTTTCATTAGCCAACCTACTGCTCAGTACAATTGTGAGGGAAAGAACACAGGCCACCAGTGATCATTACATAGTCATTAAGCCTAGCAAGATACTGGAGGTTGTAAAAAGAAAAATAAACTAATCCCTTCATGGAGAGCTCCCAATCTGTGATGCAGAAAAATAAGGCTTAATGGGATACTGGGATTATAATAGAGTTCATCAGGAGGGATATGGATAAGATGAGGCTTAGGATCTGGTGGAGAGAGATCCCACAATGCTTTCAGCAAGTCTTATGGTATCTAGCCTTTTTGCCCTGGCCAGTGTCAGTGTAGCTATTGAAACTCATGTTTGGCTGGCACTGTTTTGGATTAGTAAACTGCTGCTCTATTCTGTTTGAGGGGTGATTGCATTTCAATAATGGATGAAGTGATTTCTGGATGCATGTGAGTTTTAGGATCTTTGGGACTAAGAGGTGATGTAATATTGTGTGTGCGCTTGTGCACACACACATATACATGCTAGTACGGTGAAATGGCAACACAGTACAGCATGCAAGCGAACTGTTATTTTGTCAGTCCCATCCATCTTGCAGAACTCAAACAGTTAATGGATATTGCAGATCTTACTTTAATCCTATGTATACACTGTCTTATCTTCCAAAGTCAGCATAGACATTAGCTAATCCTTGGACGCTCTGTGAGTAACTGTTTTTACTTAAATGGAAACCGAGGCAGAGGTTGTGACTTCTGTAAAACTGCAGAGGGACTTAGACCTATAACTGGGATGAGGACTGAGGAACTCCTGGCTCATGATCCTACCACCAATCAGCTAGATGAAGCTTCCTGTTTTTGGTAGGGTAGAAACTTGACCTCAACCTATAAACCAAGACTGAGTCAAAATAATAAAGTTAAGGATGCATCAGAATTGCAGAATTTTTTTAGCAAAAGTCACCCAATTAACTTTACAATAGACAGTTGTTCCGCTACCTAGAAATCGGAGACCTGCTCCCCTGTTCCATGTTAAAGTGAATCCACTAGTCTCACTGAAGTCAGTCACTAGCTTTCGATATCTGCATTATGAGGTGAACAACTGATAAATGAGTGTGGTAGAGAGGTAAAAAAGGCACTTTGCTAACCTGACACCCCAGAGAACAAAATATGTTTCAATGAACCAAACTTGAATGAATGAAAGGATGAGATGGGTAAAGAGTTGAATGGGTTTTCATGAGGCTTACTGAATTAGTAGAGCAGTAAATTAAAATGTATTGAGTTCCTAAGGTAGAGAAGGTCCCATTGTGTATGAAGTGCATGCGTGTGTGTTTTCATAAAGCATTTCTAGCCCTGCGCTGCCTCACACCTTCTTTAAAGTGGCCTCACAGGAATTGGTCGTAACACCCTACGGGTGTGAGCTCTTTAATTGTTTAATTTGGAAACAACAATAAAAAGTGAGAGATGTTTCATGTCAGGCTGTGAAAATGAAAAGACCCCATCGGAAAGTCTCACCAGTAGATGGCAGCAGACACTTCAGCATGTTCTGCAGACTCTAACCCTGCCTGTTTTCTTCCCTTTTATAGGCTGTGTCATAATAAGCAGACAAAAGTCTATCTCCCGGAGCCCCCCTTTCCCCATGCCGAGGTAAGCAACCTACCCTTCTGTCTCTGTGACTAATTCTTATGAGTCTGCGAAACAGTCTCTTGCAATCAATCACACAAGTCAGCTGTTTCTTAGCTTTAGTCATAAAAAATAGTTTGGGACGAGGAAGAAATTAGAATGTGCCATTAACCCAGTGACTGCTGCAATATTTTCTTTCACGTTACTACTTAATATCCACTCGCCATTTTATTTCTGCCTTCACAAGAAGGTGTCTGGCACAAGCACATACATTTCTTTGCTTTTATCAAGCTGTGCCTGCCATCATGCTTTTTGTCCACACTGCTGATTTCCAAGTGTGTAAAACTAAAACCTAGCAATTGGAGTCAGGTTTATGCCCCAGATCCCACCTTCCCTGCTGAAATGGGCTCCCAGGCTGTCCGGCCCTAAGAATCGAGGGATGAGACACCTGGAAACACAAGGTTAATATTCAAGGGGTCCAAGTTGCAAAGACTTGAGTGTTATCGTCCGCTCCTATAAATGGAACATCCTGAGATAGCGTATACTTGAAGCACGTAGGAATAAGACTGCTGCCCCATCTGGGATTCCTGCAGAAATGAGGTGTGCATCTCTAGAGGACTTCCTCACAAGCCAGATGTTAAATAAAATATGGTGCGGCAGGGCTGGAGTGATGTTATATCTGTTATGGTCCAAAAAAATGTGCAAGAGACGAGGACTGTGGTGAGCAATATCTTTTATTGAACCAGTTGTATGGTTGGCATAGACTTAGACAAGCTTTCGAAGGATCTGAAGAAGAATGCACTGCATTCAAAAGCTTGTTAAGTCCATGCCAACCATGCAGTTGGTCCAATCAAAAACTAACACCCACAAAAACCCTTGTGTCTCAAATATGGCCCAATTTTTACCTTCAGTGAGAGTTTTTTCACATGCCAACTCCTTTTTATTCCAGTGGAGTTCAACATATCTCCCCTTGTAGTAGATGAAAGGTAAAAGAGGTGCCAACACATGAAGAATTTGGCTATGTTTTCACAGGGTTTCAGTCCAGCTTCTGTCAGAAAATGAGCCTTTTGCACATACAGACACTACAGATCGGCTTGTGAGATTTCACTAGCATTGTCAACATCTGTGGTGGTCAAAAATGTCTATAAGCTAGGATTGACAAGCTGGCCAATTGACTGGTCCAATATTGTCAGTTGACTGGAGATTTTTTTTGACCAGTCAACATGATTTTATTTAAAAAAAAAAAAAAAAAAAACTACAACAAAATGTAGCTTTCTTGACAAAAGTATGATTTTTATTGTCTTTGACACATTTCTTAATGGAAAATTTGTCCTTTTTCTGTGTATTGTTTGGACTTATTGGCAATTTTTTTTACAATTTTTGACCAATGTTTGATCCAGTCATATACTCAACCTTAACATAATAAATGCATATGCAGAGTTGCCATCATACAAAGGAAGGCCTCATCCAGCCCCTCTGTTGCTGTCTGCAGTTATGAGGAGCTTTGAGGAGAGATTTAGTTGGTGCTGTTTGGCAACGTAACTTGGCTGCTATGTATATCGCCTCTTTGGTGCTTCCAGTTCCCAGCTACCACTGAAGATGATAGGATTAGGGTCTAGCTTTCTAATCTTCACTCCTTCCAGGTGCTGGTATATGTTTTAGACAGGGTGTGCAGTGAATTTTGAATGGTCTGGCATCAGGGATAATGGAGCCTGCATGGCCAGCATCCACGCCTTGTGCTTAAAAATTTACCCAGGGAAATCAAGTTGCAAAGCCTAATCTTTTAAAAACAAGATGCTCTAGCCATGCAGCTAGCACTGCTTCTTAATTTATCCTGAATCTCTGTTCTCTGCTGTAGGCTTGTTGGCCCCTGGTTTCTAGCTGAAGTGCCTTCTGTTTTTCTGCCCCCTGCTATTCTATATCCTCCCAAAAGCTTTAAGGCTTCCCAACTCCCATTCCAGCACACACACGAAACCACTGGGTCAAAGTGAAGACCTTCATAAAAAAAGCATGTAGCTATCAAAGAGTGGCTTAATTCAGCAGTCTGGCAGGATGGGCCTGTGTGTTTGTACTGCGATAACAGTATCCTCTGATTGCAAGGATGTCTTTTAATTCTCCAATGCTCTTTTCATAACTGGATCCCTCCAAATTGTTTGACTGCCTCTAAGAACATTTTTAGCTGTTGCATGTGTAGATCAAGTTAATGACTTTGGTTTCTGAGAATCAGGAGCTACAGTTGAGATATTTTGAATATTGGGCTGACAGATTAATTTGTCCTCAGCAAGAAAGCCCCTTTTGGTCTAGGATATTTTAGAAGCTACACGAGCTGAAGAGCTGACCTGAGAATTATGTGCCTGCAGCTTAAACTGTGTCAGTTATACTAGTTTTGAACATATAATAATTCTCCTTTCTCCCTTCACAAAGGAAGCAATAAATCACCCTGGGGACAGTGTTGAGGCTATGTTACAGCTAAAGCAGCCTGTCTCTTCCAGGAATTACTATAATCAACTCCAAACTGTCATGTTAACACAGCAGCCTGTAACTCTTATGGTGCCAGCTCATAAAATCCCGCGGTAACTTGTTTGAGCATTGTATGACTATGGGAGTGGGAAGGATGTGTCCCTAAGGAGGAATACCTCTCTTGTGTCCTGATGTCTTGGAAAGATTCATAACATTGGACCTTGGTTCGAACTCCTTACGATAAAATTAAATGTAGAGAAGTTGTTTGAAACAGGTAAGAGAGATTTACAGAGGTCAAAAAGTGTATTAACTACTGTGGATTCCATGGAGGAGTCCTCTAGCACGAATCAGTGTTTCTGTTTGCAACACTTGTGTAAGCGCTGGGGACAAAGAACCGTGTCCTGTGCTGCCCCCTTCAATTCCCCCTCCTCCCCAGTGATGACCCAGTGGGTGTCTTCCTTGCTGATTCCTGCCACTTAACAACCACTTTGCAGATACAGGCTTCAGAGCAGTACTGGCAGCTCCAGCACTTGCTAACACTCTTTTGAAAACTTGGCCCATAATAAAAATAACAGGCAAATGAATAATGGTCCTGTTTGTTCTAGGTAAAGCTGCTGGTATAGTCGTAAATCACAAGTGAGGCATGCTTCAGGAGAACACAAATCAGATAGAGATTAGGGAAAAATACCAATCAAACCTACCAGCCCCAAAGCACTGAATGGTCCACGTCATGGTGGCAGTGCTCACCCCTGGGCTTTCTGTTTCTTGTTGCCACCCTGCAAGCGTGATTCACACTTTCCTTGGGCTGCAGCTCAACCTTTGTTGTCACAGTCCCACAGCTGGAATTGGTTTAGTGTTACTGGGCTGTGCCGGGGCCGGGCATGCAGAGAGCACGCTGTTCCTGTGTTTTCCCTTTAGGAAGCATAGAAGTGAGACTGAAAAGTGTAAACGGGGGGTGGGAAAACTTCTTCCATTTGACTGTGCGTGTATGTACGTCTGCCTCTAGGGAACTGTTCTGCCCCCTTCCCAGCACAGTCTGCATGGTATGTGTCTTTGTATCATCCCTGCAAGGTAGGGGAAGTGATTTAATTCCCATTTTACCCAAAGGAAATTAAGACCTGGAGGCATGGGCCAGGTCTGTACTGCAAATAGCTGTGCCATTTAAAAGTGTCAGTCAAATGGGTGATCCCAGCAGCTGTCAGGCTAAGCCCCTTTTGCTTGTAGCTAGAGCAGGGAGCAGGTCTGGAGCAATCTAAGCTGGCCATAGGGCCTCTTTGCTTGTATGAGCTGCACCTGCACTAGAAGTACTGCAAGCTGCCCTTTCTCCTGTCCCCCATCAGGCCAGCTCTGAAAGGGTAGGTGGTCATAGGTGACCAGATGTGACACCAGCTATATTGCTCCATTGTATGCCATTGGCCACAGAAACTGGTATGCCTCAACCACACCAGCCTGATGGGCCACTGGGCTCAGGAGGACTTTTTAAGTTGTTGTAACATGCTCATGGAGATGAGCTGATGATGGAAGAAGACCTCAGCTGCTTGCTTCCACGTTGGGCAAGTCAGAGGAAGTCACTGCTCAGATACGTATGTCTGCCGTTAGATGAGCCCCTCCATGTACCCGGCACTATGCATAGGAGAAGGGCCATATGCCGAGAACAAGCTGTTCTCATTCACCTAAAGAGGCAAATTAAAAGGACTGGGCATCCTCATTACCTCAACGTGTCCAGGGTTGTGGTAGCATCTCCTTCCCAGGAGGCTTTCAAGAAGAGGCTGGATGAGCGCTGGCAGGGATGATTCAGGAGTGGCGATCCTGTCTGCTGGCAGATGCCCCTGAGGATTCTTGGGCCATTGGTGGCTTTAGCTAAGTGCAAGAGCTATTTCCTTCCTTGTATTGGTTTCAAATCTGTAGCCTTTGCATTTCATCCCATTACGACTGTTATGAGATGAAAGGTAGGAGTTCTTGGCTTGTCTTCTCTCCCACTATGTTTTTACCTCTAAAACCTCCCTTGTTTCCTCCTCCTCTCTAGGCTAAGCTACTCCAGTCTTTTCAGTCTCTTTATCTGGAATTCTCTCCAGGCCCCAAATTCTTGTTTGAACCCTCTATTTCTGCTGAATCCTTTGAGACGGCATAACCAGCAATGGACATCAGAGCACCCAAAGCCCTTCTGCTCCCTCTTCATTGTCCCCTTTCTCTGTTCTCAGAGATTTATCATCTCTCCTTCCATTTTATCTATGCATGAAATTAGTTTTTCTTAGAGGTGATTTCTTTTCTAATACAGCACTGCCACATTATAACGAACTGTGCTTATAACAAACCTCTGCTTTTAGCAGTCTCAACTGCAGGAACCTTCTTTTTTCATTATTACAGTACAACAAATTGATAAACCCTGTTACAGCAAACACTCTTTTTTAATGAAGTTTTCTCCCAGCCCCACAGAGGTTCACTATAATGAGGTTGTGCTTATACAACCAATCCAATTGTATAGAGACTCCTACTTTTCCAGTGCTGCAGGCAGGCAAGAAACATAGGTGATTTTTTTTTTCAGCTGCACAGAGAAATTTGGA